GTGCGCGTGTGAGTGGGTTGTGTGTGGTGTGTGGGAGAGTGTTGGCTTTGGACACTACCATCCAGAAGGCTTTTTTTTTTTTTTTTTTTTTAACACACCCTGGGTGATGCTAGGGGTGCTGGTGTAGGCAGCCCCCACTACCACCCCCAGGCAGGCTCCATCTATTAGTGGGGAGCAGGACCTGCTGGAAACCGGGTCCAGCGTCCCTTACATTTGAACCTTGCATTTGAAAAAGCCATGAGGAATCATGAGATAAAAACGTGCTGGAAACCGGGTCCAGCGTCCCATCGCTAACTATCCTGTACTTTCCACATCAAAGCCTTGGGCTATGGCCCAGCAGGGCCACTGGGGGGCACCAGTGGTCCCCGTCTGTTCCCCAGCCTGCTGCACTATCCTTGAGAATGTCTGAAAATGTCTGAAAAATTATCTGAAACCTGAAAAGGGTCTAAAAAGGGTCTAAAAATGAGAACTGAAAAGAGTGATGAAAATGATATAGCTGCCAGACTTTCTGATTCCCAACTCTTCCTACCCATGCTACCACCTTTGCTGGAAACCGGGTCCAGCGTCCCATTCGACTGTCCCTATCTTCCTAGGTCTGACCATTGGTCCCGAGTCCAGACGCAGTCCACTCAATCTCACTCATATCACATCCTGTGGGACCTCCATTAGGGCTAGAGGGTGGGGGGGGAGCGGATCTGCAAAATCCTGGGCTAGACGCAACGGCTCCCTGGGATCGATGGTTAGCCAATCTCGGAAACACAGCCTATAATCTCTTTCGACCACCTCCTCCTGGCGCTGGTCTTGTTGTTGCTCCTGCTGTGACCTCGGTGCGTCCCCTGTCCATTTCACCTCGGCCACCCAACCCCCCCTCCTTCCTCCCAACCAGTTTTCCCCATAACGAGAGATAATCTTATCCATGTCGCTCCTGGAGTGTGCCTGGTCCAACAGTTTCTTTGCGGCACGCCACTGTGCTAATATCTCGGACTGTACCAATGTCCGCAGCTGTTCCTTAACCTCCCCCTCTTCCAGCTGAGCCCCCTCCATTGCTAGGACGCATCTTCTCCACCATATCACCCATACTCGTTATGGGACGCTGGGCCCAGTTCCCCGTTTGCGCCAATTTGTGAAGATATGGTTGAATCTATGGGATGCTGGACCCGGTTTCCTGCAGGTGTTGCTCCCCACCAATAGATGGAGCTTTGGTTTAAAAAAAAAAAAAAAAAAAAAAAAAAAGAATAGAGCGCCTTCCCAGCTTGAACATGTTTTCCCCTGGTATCCTCTCGTATTCGAATTCATAATCGAAAGGCTTGGGCACTGGGGCCCATTTCCCGAAAAGAAGGGAAAGAGAAAGGGGTCATGCTTGAGCCAACATGGATAGGCCCATTGATACCTGCACCCCATCTATCACAATAAAACACCCCTGAAGTTATGTACAAAATACATACTTTCAGCACAGCAGACAATAATGATATCGCTAGAACAAGATCACTATCACGGTGGGATGTTGATCATTGGCGGGATGCCACGTGGATTGTGTTCGCTCTTTGGAAAGACGCTGGAGTGCAGCACCCAGCTATTGATGCCGACCCTAAAATCGCCCTCCGCGCCAAAAAGGACGAAGCGGCATGGGCCTCCTTTTGACTGGCGCCGCCGGTACCCGCCCCCCGAAAAATGCAGCCGTATACGAGCCGCATATTTGTTTTTCAAACTGGGCGAAGTACCGGTGGCGGTCTAGCTGAGTTGGTACACCCATGAACTGTCGAAAGACAGACGTCAGTCCAAACTCCTCTGCATCTAGATGAGTGAAGTATTTTCGCCGTCGTGCTGGAGTCGTGATTCGGTCTTCTTCAACTTTTTCATTTCTATTTTTTTATTAAAAAAAAGAAAGCCCAGGGTGTTGTACAGGCCAATGACCAGACATGCGGTGATTGCTGGCAGCGGGCAGCCAATGGTTGTCCTCAGGCTGACAGGGTGGGTCCAACTCCCAACCCATCCTCACGACAATACTCCTAGCGCACCCCCTATCCGGAAGGGCATCATCATCACTCAGGAATCACCTATTGAGTTTTGTGGACTCTGGCAACGCCTCGGGAAGAGGTCTCTTCTTCATGGGTTGTGCACCTTCTCCTCTCTCTCTCTCTCTCTCTCTCTCTCTCTCTCTCTCTCTCTCTCTCTCTCTCTCTCTCTCTCTCTCTCTCTCTCTCTCTAAGGAGATGAAGAGGACACACGACCACAGAGGTGAGATGGTGCGGTAGCTGTGAGGTTGCCACAGTTCATGTTGCTTCGGCACATTGTCTCCTCCACGGGAGTAAGGCCTCACATAATCTGCAACACTTTCATCTACATCGAGGTGTGCAGGTGGTTGTTCTCCTTCTTTGTTTCTTCTGCCTCCTCCTCCTTGGCCACACGCACATGGGGGACTATTGAACCTGGATTGGCGCGTCCCTGATCGCCAGCAGCGGGGCGATCCATGTCGAACTAAGGCATGAGCTCAGATCCCCACGGCGACCTGCCAGGCGGCAATCCACGCACCACTGTTGCCTGTCGCTGCAAGGGACGCCCAACCCTGCCTGCTAGAAAGGCAGGGTGTCCCGGCATCCTTCCCCTGCTCTTCCCCACTGAGCCCACCCCCTCCCTCGGCCCAGTACCCCCTACGGACCCGCACAACACCCGGGTGCAAGTAGGCGCGTCGACCAACGCCCTCTGGACCGAGAGTGCACACGAGGGACAGAGTCCGATGTGGCGGCCAGTGGCTGGGTCCCACAGTTGGAATCTGTATGAGGCCCTTACACGCATATCTGCACCGGCGCTCCACCACTGACCACAAACCTACTCCCGCACCTGGTGCACCACTGGCCTGCGTTGGTCGACGCCCTCTGGCCAAATGGACAAGCCGGCAGGTCCAGAGATTTGAACCTGCACCCTACGACGGTATGCGGCCCTTTAGTGGGTCGCAGTCTAGCGCGATTCTTATGATGATTCCACTCCGGTGCTTCACCTACTGAGCTACATCTACAAAGGGAAATTTATTGATTGCAGTCATGCTTTTCAGCCTGGTAGAGGCTCCACCGCAACTCTTTAAAAAGAAAAAAAGAAAAAAAAGAAAGCTGCCTTCTCCTCATCGGGGAGCGGCCATATATTTTTCTCTCACCTCACATATCTTTTTAACTGGCGATCTGCCATGTCATGGAACATATGGAACATATCTTCACTACCTACCACTACTCCTAAGGCTATACAGGGGACCCCTGCAAGACTGTTGCGAGCCTCCATCATGATGTAGGAATAAAAAAAGTTAACATAGTGTTTTACTATTCTTGTTTGAGTTTCAACAGGTACACTTAGGAGGTTTCGTGTCATAACATTAAAAAAAAAAAATAATAATAATAAAAAATTCAGCTGATCTGGTGTGTCAATGCTACCGGGCTGTCCACTGCCCGGTATTGCCCACCTGCAAGTCGGGAGCAGCCCCCGCATGTTCTCTCGTGAGCACAGTTCTGGCTGTTACGGGGTTCCCTGTATGACAATAATTAGGACTGGTGGTAGGTAGGTAAAAAAAAAAAAAAAAAAAAAAGGACTGGTGGTAGGTAGGTAGTGTGAGGTGAAATTGAGAGAGGAATGTAGCCTATTTGCACAACAACAACAACAACAACAACAACAACAACAACAACAACAACAACAACAACAACAACAAAACGAAAAAAAAAAGGAATACTCAGTGGTTGTTAAAAGAAAAAAAAAAGAAGACGGAATACTCAATTGTTGTGCGTCGTTTCGATGTCAATTTATGTATATTTGTTGTCGTGTGGGAGCAAATGGCTTTTCCTCCCGCATCAGAACGACCAGGGCAAGGACAGGTGGAGCATTTGCCGTAATAGCCTCCATTGGAGTCCCCATGTTGTCCAACCTTTGGAACAGGCGAAGGGAAGCCATAGCCACAATGAGATCCTTGTTTCTTTGCCTGCAGCGTTGGATCACGGCTCTGGTCGGTGATGGGTCAGTCACACCACATGCCCCTGCTGTAAGTCAACGCTTCCGCCAAAAGTTGGTGCATATTCTTTTGCCTTTCTCTACAGGTAACTCGTTGCCCCAATTTGTCAATTGCCCCTTTGGTGGCATTCATTCTAGAGGGAACTGATACACAAAGATCCCAGTTACAACCGCCAACTTCAGCCCAATATTGCTAAATCCTTGTCACACACAACTTTAAAATTCAAATTACTGGGAGAAAAAAAAAGAATAAATAAAAAATAAAAAATTGCTGAGAGCCCTTTAAATTGCCTTAAACTCCGATCAGAAAGCACCAATGGGCATGAGGTTGTCCATCACATTGCAATTTCATGTGCAATTGAAACAACAACTGCAGGTTGGTCTCTCTCTCTCTTTC